TGTTTGTATGTTGTTTAACGTCCCTCTTGAGAATTTTTCACTCATATGGAGACGCCACCACTTGCCGATGGAGAGCTGCAAATTTTGTCCTATACTCGGCACTTACGCCATTGAGCAGTGAGGGATCTTTTTCGTGCCAGCACCAACTGCGACACGAGACCTTGGTTTATACAGTCTCATCCGAATGACCGGTCTCCACGTCCCACAGTGGGATTCGAACCCGCGACGTAAGGATCAACTCCTTACTTCGCGATTTCAGAGCAGAGGCTCTAACCACTGCGCCACGCGGGCGACTAGAGCAGCGTTAAAATCAGGACAGGTAATGATCTCACGTCAATATTCAATAATTAAAGCTGAAGACTGCTGCTCAAAGGCATTGTCCGTCATTTTCTCGTTAGTCGGCACTATCCCCTACAACCCCTATATAAGCCGCGGACCTCTTAACAGCTAGATGTATTTCGTTGTAGAGGTCTGACGCGTAATGACGTACATCTTACTTTGCCGTGTTACTTGTTCGCGATAAAATTATCAAATTTTTCGCATTTTTCCTAGCTAGGAGAAAAGTAACATTAAATATACAAGTCAATACATTATGTACAAACAGAAAATGCACACAAAAAACGGAGTAAAGTTAGTTTTCAGTGTTCATTATTTTTTAAAGTAGTCCTCTCCGATTTTAATGCACATCTTCAACCGTTCTGCCCATGTGCGAATCACTTGATCCAGGCGGTCACGTGACATGCTCCGTAGCGTTCTGTTCACAGCAGCTGAAAGATTTTTCCGAGTCTTATTTTTCTTACCATGCAAGTTATTTTTTACAAGAACAGCCAATTTTTCCACTCGGCCGATTCTTACCTCATCTAACAGTCGCCCGCGTGGCGCAGTGGTTAGAGCGTCTACTCTAGAGTCGCGAAGTAAGGAGTTGATCGCGGGTTCGAATTCCACTGTGGGACGTGGAGACCGGTCCTTCGGAATAGACCGTATAAACCGAGGTCCCGTGTCGCAGTTGGTGCTGGCACGAAAAAGATCCCTCACTGCTCAATGGCCGTAAGTGCCGAGCGTAGGACAAAATTTGCAGCTCTCCACCGGCAAGTGGTGGCGTCTCCATATGCGTGAAAAATTCTCGAGAGGGACGTTAAACAACAACCAACTAATAGAAGCTGTGTATGCCAAATTTCAATCTGATCTGAATTGTTTTGTAAATATAGATACAGTTTGCGAACTTTTTGATCACCCTCGTATTAATATATTTATTTCGCCGTGCGGTTCTTCGAAGTAAATCAAATTTATTTTGGGCGTCAAGACTGACTTTTATTCCTCAGGACGAAATGTGAGGTTTCAGCAAATTATTCTTACAATGTTCTTCTAAATATCTTGACACATGTTAACACTATTTTTGCCTGATCATTTTGTATATGCCACGAAAATTACAAGAATATGAAATATTCATGTACATGTCACTGTATGAAGAATTAAGCAGTTAATAAGAGAAAACATGAACAAGTTGTATAATTCACACCTGGAAATTATGCGTTCCTTTTTGCTAGTGGGATTAAGCAATTAGCTAAAACCTAAACGTGTACCAATATGTACAGAGTAAGCTGAAACACAAGTGCTATATTCATAGCTTATGTTTGTAATTAAAAAAAACCAAGAAGGAAATACTAAGCTGAACCTTGAATCAATAGATATCTTTTGAAGCCAGCCAAAAGGATGAAGCGTCTGTTTGCTTTAACAAAGAGTAATAGAGCAAGTAGAACTACTCGGGGACGAAGTAGGGGTAAACGTGGCCAAGGACGTTGATGTTATGAAATTTCTCGAGGTAAAAGATATTTTTAGAGTCCGTCAGGATTTGCATTTAGATTGTTTAATGCCGTTGTTTCTTTCATTGTTTAAAAGTAGTGAATTTCTCTCTACAATATCAGATACCAGTGATTCTGATGACCTATTAAGTGATTCGTCTATTGTTCCATAAACCTTTTCGTGCTAACTTTCGCCATGCGTATAACTACTTCCGCGAGGAAAGCGTCTCTTACAACATCATGGCTTCGCGCGACAATTAAAAGAAGGAAAACAAAACAACGCTACAGAAAATGTGCCAAGACATTGGATTTGATGTTAAGGGGAAAAAGAGAGGAATGTTGGTAGATTTTTTTTTACAACTGGTGTTCCGCGGCCCAGCATATTATCCCAGTAGTTTACCATCAGAGTAATCTTACGAGCGTTCTTCCCAAATTAGATGAGCAGGTGCAAGTTTGTAACAATATCCGGCCCCAATCTAATTAAACCAGTTACACCACTGTACCATATTCTCAGTTTTCCAGTCGAAGTTTATAATTTGATGGTTACTAGAGCCCGGGTATCATGTGCCGGCAGAGGTTTCCAAAATTTTAAGGAATGGGCAGAGCTGTCCGACACTTTGAAGCTGGAGATGTGCAGGATATACAAATCTCACAGGTACATACAGAGCAGCGTTTCCTGAAACCGGGATCCCACATGAATCCACGGCCAAGCACACGTACGTTTGAACTGGTAATGGTACATCCGTGAATGTGGCCACCCCGGTCATATTCTGAGGCATGAAGCACGGCATTGGTGGCGAACGATAGAGACATTGAAGAGGCGAAGCAGATTCAGAGGTATTGGCCGACATAGTCGTCGATAGTTTGTCCTCAACTTGCTTTTTTTCAGGCATAATACCATTGCTTTTACTACGATATCGGACGCTTTCCCGCCGACCACGCTAAGGGTGGCTTTGTTTACCCCTCCCTGATGTCTGTTGGCTTGTCTACATAACTCTTCGTAGACGTCGGACTCTGAATCGTTATGTTTTATAGCCTGTTTTGTTAGCTCGTCGAGAGTTAAAAGGAGCAATGCTTCGTTTGGTTTCGATATCATAAGAAAGCCAAACTTTCCATCTTTTCTTTAAGGTCCTTTACTGTGTCTAATTTTCTCTAGGTTTACGATTCTCTGCTTTCCTTTTTGCTTGTTGACGGCCCCTGCTCAACATCCTCCTCCTCTGTGTCCTAATCAAAATGAGATATGAAAATGTTTATTTGGAATCGTATTGTATTTCTTTTGCTTTATTTTCAGTAATTACACATTTAACAGCTTTGTTTGTGTTCAATTTCGAAGTTCAACACTCTAAATCTAATGTGTGACACGTGTGTAGGAGTTTTCCCTTCGTTAGCACCTCCCATTCCAGAATACATAAGGTTGAATGATGTTAATACACTGACCTCTTTCTCCTGGAGATTATGGCTTTGTGGCTGGCCAATCTCATTGGCCAAGAGAATGGCCACATGTGCCAATCTTCTTAAGGAGTCCTCAGACACAGGCACTCCAACAGCAAATGGCATCGTCGTCTAAAAGAGTTTTCTCAATTCCTCAATTGTCATCTCCTCAATTCTTTCGATAGACTTGAATCTTGCATACTCCATCCTTGGACTCGTTTTAAGATCTTTAAAGTTTCTTCATCAGTTTTAAGGTGGCATTTGTGTTTTTTTTTTAGATCGTGCCGTCTTTTAAGAATAAAAGGTGTCATCTACAAAAACACAACGGAATATCTTTCAACATATTACACAGTATAAATATAGGACAATAAAGTTAGTTATAATATTTGGGAATTTATGCTAAAATATACTGAAAGGAAAAAGAAACGCAGGGTAACATATGCGAAAAAAATTTGACTGCTCGGTCAAAATGTACCAAAAATGGTCAAAGGGTATCTTGATAACTGTGTTCTCAAATCGGTGTTCAGAATTACTCAACCGTAAAATGTATGACGTCATGTAGGGAAAAAGCCCCCCCAAAAACACGTGCATATTGATGATGTCAGGTTTATCATCACATCTTGTTATACAAATTGATGCACTGAAGATATACTCATTGTTTTTGAATATTTAAAGACAATTTGAAGTTTTCGTAATCATGATGTGGCTGACGGAAGTTCCATGTGGTCTGGCTATTGCATTGCCTAAGTAAGGAAAAAGGAAAGACCAGGTTGCTGTGCAGTTTGTTGTAATTTTTTTCACCATAGAACGTCTTATCCATCGTCAGAGAGGGAGTGAAAACATGACTTTGGCGCGTAAGAACGTCACGTCAAGATTGGGCTATTCATCCTGCCATCTGTGTTATCACCACTTACGACCACTGAAACCTCTATTAATACAGAAGGCAATCATAATCGTTACATTCATCCAAAAACTAAAAGAAACTCATAGCGCAATTTTGGTTTGTGAGCTCAACTTTACGACAGTGTTCCTCTCGCTCAGGCGCGTGTGAGCATTATGCCTTATTTTTCAGGATGTGAAGCCAGGCTTTCTCGCAAACATTCACAGTAACCCACTCTAATGGTGTCCGTAAAATCTATCTTTTTTCGCCGGGTAAAACCTGCTGAACAAGCTTAAAAGTATGGAGAACATATTGGATAATAAATATTAGTTATGTAGTAATCTGATAATATATTGAAACAATTATGGACATGAATTGTGACAATGGTACCCAAAGAAAGATCTTGTCAAAAGGAATATGTTTGCGATAAGTAACGGATATTCTGTTTTTGACTTTAATGTCCGAACCTCAACAAAATGTGCACACAACGAATACACAACGTTTTTCTTCTATACAGTTTACACCCCGAACCCGAACAATGATAATATCAATTAATCTGCGGAACATTCTCCTCTCCTTGATTGCTTGCATATCAACAAAATTACTTAATTTCGTTATGCATGATAGAAAATAATTCACGTTAAAATGTCAAACACTGAAATACATTTAAACAATTCTTTTTACACAACACTTTTTAAAATGGTTCATCTAGTCACTAAATTCCAATGGACACAATTTGGTTATCGGGCGCGTAAATGTCTTTTGTCCAACCTTAACCACTGCAATACGCACATGCCCATCTTTGCCAGAATGAATGTCCAAAACACGACCTAGTTGCCAATGTCCCCTTGGTATATTAGGTTCAATGACAAGCACAATTTCACCTTTTACATATATCTCTGCAATTCTGAGTCCATTTTTTTACGCAAGTTCAGTCCTGGTAACCACTCACGCATCCATCGGTGCCAGAAGTGTCGTACAAGCTCCTGTATTCTTCTCCAACGTTTCCGTGGGTTGAACTCTGTGGTGTCTACAGTTTCTGGTGCAAACTGACCTCCAACCTGCTCATGCAGGAAATGGTTTGGTGTCAATGGAACATCATCGTTAGGGTTTGCTGATTGGTAAGTTAAGGGTCTGGAATTGATCAACGCCTCTGCTCCTACAAACGCCGTCATGAGTTCTTCATCTGTAACATCTGCCGATCCGATCACTGCATAGATAGCTCTCTTTGCTGCTTTAATCATTATTTCATGGACACCTCCAAAGTGAGGTGCAAGTGGCGGATTAAAGTGCCACATGACTCCAAGTTTTGCTGTAGACTGTTGAATTTTTCTGTGGTCGAATAAACCAACAAGTTCTTGAGTTCATTGTTGCCTCCTACAAAATTAGTTACATTATCAGATATAACTTCTTTTGGTAGGCCTCTTCTGCTCACCATTCGGTAAAATGCGTTAAGGAATGAATCTGTGTCATGTCCAAAGGCTATCTCCAGGTTTCACTGCCCTTGATATCACACACGTAAAAAGACAACTTTTGAACTGATGCTGAGGTAACCACCAAAAAATATAGAGCCTAAATGCAACAATGCCTCAGTGAAAATATTGCTTTGAATAAACCACCAGAAATAGTTTAAACCAATCGCTAAATTGCATTAATAAGAAAGAAGTTGGTGAAGCCAATTTTCCTGTCGTGAAATCAGATTAAATCACAAACATAAGCTACAAATTGGTGAATATACCATTTTAAATGATTCTGTATCGTCCCTGAAGTGAAAAATATCACAAATGATCTTCGTGGTTCCACAAAAAATACAAAAAAAATCATTAGAAAAATCTACTAGAATTGGTGAAGTCACCAAGATAATACAAAGTGGTTTTTAAAACGTTTTAGAGTTATGATGAAAACATTTTTAAACTAATTAACAATGCTATTTAATCCACCAACATTTTTAAAAGCTTCAATGGAAATATACATAACATTAAGTAAATAGTTGTTGTCCAAAAGTTTGGAGAAAAAAAAACGTGTTTATTTGTATTGACTTCGTGGAGCTACCAAACTACAGACATTATTTTTGAGTCAAAGAATTGTTTTAAAGTTACTTTTAAACAGTTGAAAAACATTTAAAAATACAACTAAGTTGTTAAAATCCAAAAATGTTGAAAGGAAACAATTTCTTTTTAAACCATGAAAGCCGCCATCAATAGTTATAGGTTTAACTTAATTCAATATATATACTGTATTTACTTCTTTGATTCTCAAGCCTTCCACATTTTAAAAAATGTAGACTTTTTGATTTTTACCATGTTCATCTCTCTCCTCTCATCAACATAATTCCTGTACACTGACATCTTCCTAGTTTTGTATGGCAGCAATTATTTGGAAGAATCGGGCGAATCATCAGCTCTGTAGAAAGCATGTTTCCAGCCAGCTCATCGCCTCCAAATACTTAACAGACCTTTTCTATTTTTCGGCTCAGAACTTATGTAGCTTGCACTAAATTTCTAATAAATAAATTAATAATTATATTAAAAAAATCTTTTTTTTAATCTTGTTGAACAGGGCTTTGAAGGCCTTAGCGCATATTTTTTCCCAGCTTCAAAAAAAAAACCTTCACTTTCCATTCTCGTTTCGCCACATTTAAACTTCTCCAAGACAAATTTATTTTGATTTTGGACAGATTTACTCCAAAATAAGGTTCTGCTATTCTTTATATCGATGTATGAAAAAAATTCAAGGCATTTTTTATCACAATAACTTTACCTCATGACACTGTGGATTGACTGAGGTTTTGTGTACTTTGTTAGCAGAATTGTGGATGATCTTCCTGCAAAATAAATTGTACGTACATGTATGTTCATGAACGTCTTACCCATGTTAACTGACATGTGTGTAAATAAATTGAAGGAAAATGCTTGTACACATATACCCACAATAATTTATCGTTTTTCTTCCGGAGAACGATTTCATAGAATTTCCCTCAAATACATTTTTATGAACTCTTATTTGAGGCTTCTTTAATGAACAAGAGGTCTATGGCCCATAATTTCCTGCTGGATTAATAATTATAATTAAATCACTTATATTCTTTAAAATCATGTCAGTTTTGATTTTTTTAATATTTATTAAGGTCTTCCGTCTCCACGGAAGACCTTATAGTGATTCTATTGTTTCTTCTTCTTCTTATTATTATTCTTTTTTTTTAGACAAAATTTTGTGCACGCGATTTCTCGAAAACTATTCAATGAATTTCCTTGAAATTTTCAGGGATAAAAGGTCCTTATATGAATTTTATATAAAATTCCGTTTTTTGGTAAACTCGGTTCCAGTGCCAAGTTATGGACAATTTTCTGATTTTAAAATGCAATTTTGTCCGCGAGTGTTCTCAAGAATGGCTTAAGATATTAACTGGAGACTTGTTAGAGATGATAGAACATGATTTTTAGATTGGAGAGGGCACCTTTTCGTCTGTCGTCGGCACTTCCGGTCGCTTACGGAAGTGATCAAAGAAATCGTTAAATTTCAACTTTCCTTTTTTAAATCAATTCTTACATCACATTATTGCATCTCTTTTGTAGTTCTGAAATATGTTGGTCCCACCGGAAACAGAAACGTCAACTTCCGGTTATAAGAGAAAAACTACATAATTTGAGTATTTTTCTTTCCCATTAATATTTTTTTAATATAATCTTTTGTAGATAAAGTATTTGGAATGATTTTAGAATATGTTATTCAGACAGCAAATGTCTAGAGTAACTTTAAATATCTTTCAAAAATTCACTTCCGGTCGCGTGTTTTTCTGTCCTCAAAATGAGAAGTTGTCTGAGCAAGATATCGGAAACGGTAAGAGATAAAGACACCAGACTTATATGAGCAACAGACCTTAAGATGTAGCCAAAACCACTTGGGTTCAGAGCGTCAGCCGTCACTTCCGGTCGTCAGGAAGTGATCAAAGAAATCGAAAATTTCAACTTTTCTTTTTTTCATTTAAAAATTACATCACTTTATTGCATCTTTTTCGCAGATTCGAAAGATGTTGGTCCCACCGGAAAGAAAAAAGACAACTTCCGGTTATAAGAGAAAAACTACATAATTTGAGTATTTTACTTTCCTATAAATATTCTTTATAGATAACGTATTTGAAATGAATTTTAAATATGTTATTCAGACTGCAAAGGTCTAAAGTAACCTCAAATATCTTTCTAAAATTCACTTCCGGTCGCGTGTTTTTCTGTCCTCAAAATGAAAAATTGTCTGAGTGAGATCTCAAAAACAGGTAAAAGATTAAAACACCAAATTTTTATGAGTAGCAGACCTTGAGGAGTAGGCAAAACCATTTTGGTTAAACGCGTCCTTCGTAACTTCCGGTCGTCACAGGAAGTGATCAAAGAAATAAAAAAAATTAACATTTCTTTTTTAGATTAAAGTTTGCATCACTTAATTGCATCTCTTTCGCTGTTTTGAAATATGTTAGATTCCACTGGAAACAAAAACGTCAACTTCCGGTTTTAGGTGATAAACTACGTTATTTCGATTTTTAACTTTCTCATAAATATTGCTTATCGATAAAGTACTTGAAATGTTTTTATGCATTTTGTAGATACTGCAAATGTATAGAGAAACGTCAGAGATTTTTTTTATAAAATTCACTTCCGGTCGCGTGTTTACCTGTCCTCAGAATTATAATTTGTTCTCACAATATTGCTCGGCAACGGTAAACGACTGAAGTCTAAAACTTTCAGAACTGATAGTCAGTCATCAGTTTATTTGAATCGCGAGGAAATCTTATATCGCCGTTACCGGTACTTCCGGTCGTGACAGGAAGTGATGCAAAAAAGTTAATGGTTAGCACTTTGGATTTTCACGCTGACAACCAGGGTTAAATCTCCAGAGTGTCCGAATTTCTTTTATCACCTTTTTAGCTTGATATTACGTTTTTATTTTCAAAATCGGACGGAAGACCTCTCATTGCTCGCAATGAGTTTCTAGTATATATATATTTATAATAATTTGCTACTTTTCTCACAAACCCTTGGTCTATCTTGCTATCAAAAGTCAGGATTTTTTTCACAAGTTGTGATTGGAGTTTATTGACATCATTTGATCAATCGGCAAGTGCTATAGTAAATGACGAGATCTTCATTCAGGATATTTCTTGACTCTATAGTCTCAGTAATAAAAACCCTTGTAAACAATGATTCATAAGATAACATTCCATTCTTTAAATTGCTATGGCATATCATCCAATGTGAAGATTATGTGCACATAATGTAATCTGGAACCTACATTTTGTATATTGCAGATAAAGACTTGCAACTTGCTAATAAAAAACCTATCTGCTTGTTAGTTATTCTTCAGATACTTCACTTTTTATAAATGCTCTTTATTTCTATGAATGATGCAAGCTGTGATTCGAGATCAAGTGACGTAAACAATCCTGACTTTTGATAGCATGATAGGCTAAGGGTTTGTGAGAAGAGTAGCAGACCAGAATCCTTTGCTTGCAAAGATGAGCAAATGCATGTCGCATAAATAAGATGAATGAAAGGATTGTAATGCAAAAGCCACTTATTTGACAAAGAGATTCCAAGTTCCATCCATTGTCCATCTCATGAGGTTTCTTCATGCTTATCATATTACCATATGATATTTACCATATTATTTTATTAATGTGTGTCACTAAGGTTGAATTACATGCAATCGCATCTTACGAATTTTATTTCAGTTCACATGTTTTAGATGTATTTTTGGAATGGCAACCAAGATATGCAAAATAAAAAAGATTAATTCATTTTTTCAAATTTCTCTCAGGATTTTGTTGTTCACAACTTTTTACATCAGCTATAAGATGATATATCCATAATGATTGCAGCATTTCAAAATTGATATATACTTGCAATTTAAGGCAGAATTCTGTACTGATCTGACCTTGACCCCACTAAGAACAGAAGTGTTTAAGGTCAATACTCAATTCTATAATGTTCTTTACATTATTTTGGCCCATATCTTACTTACAATATCATGGAATACACAAAAAGTGTCTAGAATGAGCGATAACAAACATACAATGTATACAGTCAAAAATTTGAAAATGTTGTTGCTTAGCAACCACTTAAAGGTCATTAAACAGATATTTGAACTAAAATGGTGTATTGATATTGCAGTTCTGATGCCTTCTTGAGAGTATATTAAGAATTTTCTATTTCAGCATCCATTGTGTCGAAAATTTGAGCAAGAATATTGAAAAGTGTTCAAAAAGTTGATGGAATTTTGCACTTATTTGACCTTTGACCTCCTAAAA